TAATGTCCATATTTCCCGAATGGCTGAAAGTTCCTTTTCACTGCTTATCCAATTTTCCCCTATTCCATTGTACTATATATGTCAGTTCATCAGATAACTTGTATTTCATGGATTTTGTGATTCTGCACTTGCAAACTGTAGAGTGTCCTCTGCCAGTTCCAAGCTGGGATTTTCTCTTCCTGGATCCCTGAAAATATATACAGTTCACTAAAACATGATCCCCATTCCTCTAGGTAAACATTAGAACTGGCATAGAAAGAGTGAGGATATTTCTGGAATTAACCTGGATATGGGGCTCCTTGCTCAGTAAGAAGAATGCTAACCTGCAGGTCCACAAAACACACAGTTCTCCTTTCGGTTGGTTTTTCTTTCAGTTTGTGACCACATCTGTCACATTTGTGTGTTGTTCTTCTATAGCTTTTAATCTGTTGTTAAATGGAAGAAAGTAACTGTGCAGAAATCCAGCCCAGATTTTATCACGACATTGAAGAACATAGATATTGCTGTTAGGACCCCTTACAGGGAGATCAAGTAAGATTTGAGAGCTGGGAAAAGCTTCAGCACCTTGTTCACTGCAGGTTTCCAAGAAAGCCAGCAGGTTTTGCTTGTCTTGAGAAGCTGCTGATACTCTGAATCAACAGCATCATGAACCTTTCAACATGTGGTTCTGGCTGTATAAATATGGAAGTACTTGTAAACCTTGATAGCAAAGGGCTCAGTGTGAAGGGGTGACCTGTCAGTAGTAGAATGCATTGCATTGTGAACAATGTGGGCTACACCACCTGTTCCAATCCAAGGGATTACTTCTTTTAATCAGAAACTACTGTCTTTTCCAGCTCTTTGTTGACCACAAAACTTGTCAGCACAAAAGTTTGGATTTTGTGCTGACAGTACAGATATTACCACTTTTTCTTGTAAATTATATTTGTCAAGAGCCTTAAGTATTTCTCCACATGGTATGGTAAACTTCAAAATGTTTACATTCACTCCCTTGAGTATCAGATTACTATTGGTATCAACTTAATATATTTTCTGTTGGAAGTATCAGTTGACACAGATTTTCAGATATTCATGGCAAAAATGGCAAATAACCAGAATTTTGGTCTTGGTATGAGTGGAGTAGAACTTCCGACTATACTGTTTTCTAATTAAAGCAGACATGCATTGAGTGTGCATCGCAGCATGGCAAACAAATGTGTCTTTCATCATTCATAATTTCATAATTCACCTTCTCTAGGAGTCTCCTTCACAAGCATATTTGTTAAACTGCTACTAACAGATTCAATCCATGATTAGAAGTTTTAGAATTGGTCACTATGACCTAACTTGCCACCATCAGCAAGTTGATTCTTGGAGCTTTTTCTTTTTCTTTTGGTCTTACTCAAAAGAAGGGAGGTTTTCTACAGCTTTCCATTGAATGAACATTTGCATTTAGAAGGTTTCTCTCTTTTTCTTTACAAGAGACTTTGATGAAGGGCAGTGCAGAGATTTCTGGTCACCCGGTACAACTAAAACATCTTCAAACAAAACAAAACTATGTGACCCAAGTTTGGTGTATTTTTGACCAGAGGATTTAAATTTTACAACTGTTTTTGCCCAGATAGGCATCAAGAAAGCTGAATTGCTTGATCCCATTGCTGTGAGAGTGAACACAGAAGTTGTTTCCCAACTTGAGGCTTGTGCAAACTTGTTACTTGCCTTGCCTTCTGATGCTGGTGCAAAAAGGCAAGCCTCTGCTTACACTGTTGAACCAGCCAGTTGGAATGGGCTCCTGGAAACCCTAATACAATATTTTCTGGTTTGGAAGGTCATCCCTGGTGTGCATCATCCTCTTATAGGCGTCAACCTATTACTGGCAGACTGTTTCAGTCTCCCATCTGTCATATAAAATGAAAACAGCTCAGTTCTCCTATATAAAATTCTTGGGCAAGTACCATACATGAAATACTTGAGCCCTTGAAAAATATGATATACTGTTATAAACATTGTGTAAATTTCATTCTCTCCCCTCTTCATCTGAAATATAAAGCTGTCACCAGTTTTCTCTGTTCCTGGTGGATTGCTTTAGGTCAATGTTTTAACCATTCCGCACTACTATCTATTAACAGAAAAATATAATCTAAAGATATTTATGGGTCCAGGAGGGCAGATTCTTCTCTATGGGTGTTCCTGTATTAAAGTATTAGCTTTCAAAAAGAGGATGTGATTCTGTTGCACGTGTTCTGTTCCATGTGTCTCTAGCAGCTGAACATCATTGTAACATGCCCAACCTTACCCCTTTGTGGTTGACATAATTCTGTTTATCTTCTTCAAAGAAAGTCTCTTAGCAGCAGAGCAACAGGAGAAGGAGCAGGCATCCTTCAGCTAATTTAAAAAGCACCATTCCACTAACTCCATTATAAGACCCTGTTCATTTTTTTTAAACTGGATTGCCATTGGTTGCCATTGTGGAAGATGGGGAAGAAGAAATTCAGCTGTCCACCAAGCAGTGCAGTGACCTGCATTGTTGTTCTTGTCAGCTGCTTGATATATTGTGATGGCAGACTGCCATTGCTGTTGGATTGTTTCTATTTTGGGCTGAGTGTACAGCAAGAGGGCAGGAACAGCAATTAAGATAGTAGCTCTGTTACATAAGTTCAGAGACCATGTGATTAGTGCTTCAGTTACCTTCAACCATGAAAACCTATGCCCATACAGGTATGATCATCCAGCTAAAATGCCATTGTTCTCAGTGATCAAGTGATAAGCTCGATGGGATCAGTTCCATTGGTCTTAAACATCTAAACCTCGTTGGTTATCTGATGGCAGATATAAATAAATTGAGAGCTGGTTTAGTCTGGCAGTTAAGGTGTTGGACTTAGGAGCAAGGAAACTCAGGTCTCAGTCTGTCCTCAGTCACAGTCTGAGTCACAGTCACAGAAGCTCTTGGGGCCAGTTGTTCACTCTCAGCCCAGCCCATCTGAGAAAAAAATGGGAAGAGGGAGCACTATGTGCATCTCCTTAAGCTCCTGAATGATAGGAGGATATACATCAAACAGATACGGTTATAATTTTTCTCAGCTGCTATATATATAATTTATTTTTGTATGGTGTTTGTACTTGGTTTTAACTGATTTGATGATTGTTCGCCACCTAGAATCACTTGTCTGAGATGGGCAGCCATAGAAATCGAATAAATAAATACATTTCCATATATCTTTTAATAATAAATTTCAGCAACAAGGTAATACTTTCATGTGTAGCAAGAATTGTAAAACCAGTTACAAAATATTTGTATCCACATATATCCTGGGGATAGGAGCCAATTTTAATCTGTTCTGCCTTTCCTGTGCAGTTCCTTTTTCCACCCCAAATATGCGCCAGATGGTTGGGGCCGGTCTTTTGGAATATATGAAGATTCAGGATTAATTGGAGGGTGTCTTTACCCTTAAAACAGGAGAAAGAGAAGGACTTGATGAAAGTTGCCTCTTTTCCTCTTATATCACACTCTGTGATATGAATGAAAGAAAAACTCTTCCTCCAAAGGGCAGATTCAGGATCCATACTTGTATTGTATTTAGAGGCTTCCTAATTCTGGGTGAGAAGAGCTTGACTTAAGTGGTGTGTGTTCATGAGATGATAGTTTTTTAAAAAATCTGCCACTTACAACTTTTTTGTTGTCAAATTCAAGATGAAAACTTGAAGCAAAAACTAAACAAGGTGGGGGGACCGGGAGGTATCATCAGCCTCTCATTGCAAAGGGTGTCCTTACCAATGAAATTACACTAGCTGGATCATTAAATTCAGGCATGCAGTTGCAGCAAACTGCCCTAATGTTTCACCAAAGGAGATGCCATAATGGAAGGTTAGTGGAAGAAATTGTATTAAGCTTCAAGAAGATTAGAGTAAGGGGCATAGGGAAGGCTTCTGTTTTGATGCATTATTTCTTGCCTAGAAATCTCGGGTGAATAATCTGAGGTGAGTTTAAAAGAGTATAAGGTTATTGCTGGCCCTTGAAAGAAAAAGGCCGCTGGAAATAGTAGTGCCCTATTTATGGCTGAGTGGATTTTCCTTTTAAGCATCTGACAAAGGTCCTGATCTGGCAGCCTGGTGCACCCAGAGTCACTCCTAAAATATATTATCTTCTGGGGAAAAGCTGTTTGTGATTAAATGAGGTGATTTCTGTCTGGATGCAAGAGATGGACAGGTTTATATCAGGTCACCTCTTCTGGAAACAAGACTGTGTTCTAAAAATAAAGCAAAAATATTTATTTCCACGATAGTTACCTCTGTGTATTGTTTGCCCTATGACTTATTCCCCATACCTAGATTTGAGAAAGACTAGTCATGCTTTATTTATTAAAGATGCTTTTAGGATTTGCCTTGATGGATATTATTAGACTTTTTGACACTGATCCACTCTCCTTTCCTCTGTGTTAGGAATGCTTGAGTCCATTTTTAAGTATGCAAGGAAGACCTACAGGCTGCTTCTAAATTTGGCATTTCCAGTCGTATTCTCAGTGCTAAATGCATAAGGAGTAGTTACGTGGCTAGGCTGTTGACATGGGAGGTTTCATTTCCCCACATGCTATTTTTCTTGCCATGGGCATCATGAAGAGCCAGGACATGCTCAAAGGAGATACTGTTCTCCATTCATCATGGTTTGGTGTTATTTCAAAGAAAGAGCTCTTAAAGCTCAGTGCCTTCCAAAGTATTGATCTGCTGGAAAAACAGCCATTGGTTTTCACTATTCAGAAGATGATTTTGTTTACCTAAATAGACGTAGGGTTGGCGCACGGGAATTATTCCTTGTCAGAATGAATGAAGCTTAAAGAAGGACATGCAAGCTGATTTTTTTGAAGTCATGACCACAACTCCAGGAGATTTTTTTTGCCGGGAATTCAACATTATATTACCTAAAGTTCTCCTTTCTCTTTCCATTTCATTTTTCAGAGGAAGTGATATATCTGAATCTGGATACTTCAAATGAAATTATTTGTTTGTTCATTTGCTTGCTGCAGCTCTCTACACAGGGAGAAGCTAGCCAGGTGATTGGCCCATTAACTGAAGGGCAGAGAAGAAATGTGGCTGTGGTGAATTCGCTCTACAAGCTGCACCAGTCAGTTCTAAAAGTAAGTGCCAAGGATATTTGTGAAGTTAAACGTTTAATAGCTGGAGCACTCCAAACACCTTGAGAATTGATCACTTCTCAAATAATTTCTGTGATCATTGGAATGGGCTCAGTCTTGGTATTTCACTGGTTCTTGATAGAATTAGATATGTCTGCCTGGCGTCCTGGTGGAGTCAGATAAAGAAGAAGGGGACCAAGCATATTTTGGTTGTAGACACAGCTGGTGGGTCAGCTGACCCTCTGTAGCTAGCCAGTAAAATGAAGATTGGCTATACTTGGGCCTCACTGCACAGTTTAACATTGTTCCACGTATTTTCCTTAGGTTATCTCCAGCCAAAGTATGTTTCCAACAGCTTCAGAGGAAATTGTTACTGCAGCTTTGAAGGTAGGTGTGTATGATAAAATCGCTGAGAAAGATTTAAATCTTGCTGGGCACTACAGGCTTCCTCTCTGTCAGCCCAACCTACCACACAGGGTCACTGTTGTGGAGAAAAACAGGAGGAGGGAGTGCTTCACATGCCATCTTGAGCTTCTGAATAAAAGGCAGGATACTAATACTAATCAAATAAAGAAATAATTAAATAGTATATAATAAGTCAACATTTTTTAGTTTAGTGGATGCTCCTGTTATATCCACCCAGTGGGCACTTCTGGGAGTGAGCCGTTTTCCCCAGCTCACTCCCATCGTGCTTCTGAGATTCCCTCTATCCTCTGGGGCAGATTCCCACTAACAGATGAGCAGAACATTCTTTGTTGAGCAGAAACTTTGCTTGTGGGATCCTTAGATCCAGCAGTTTTCAACTGGCAAAGAGGTCCATGTGGTGGCATGGGAGCCCCCAAACTCTTTTGTCATCTTAAAAATTACCATCAAAGGGGAAATGATTTCAGTGTTTTGCAGGGGAATATTATTTTAACTATTTTTAATTGTAATTAAATGTAAATGTACAAAATAAAATTTAACTGTGGTTCCAATAAAGGAGAATATAAGTAGCTCAGGGTTAAACTGCTGGGTCCTTGGTGCTCTCTCCTCTTGGTTGCAAATGTTTCATTGCCCAACTAGGTAACATCATCAGTGCATGGGAGAGTGGGGTTTGCTGGTTGCTTATATATAGTGGTTTATCTTTGCCAGTTTTGGTGGGGATGTGACTTCTTCCTTGATGGTTCCCTGATTAGGACATTATTTCTTCCCTGATTGTTTTTCTGGTACTGTTTCCTGCTTGTCTGGGTGTTGGCTGCTGGAGGGAATATGCTCTCGGCTCTTGATTTCCTTCTTTGACTTTTGGTTGCATCTTTTGACGAAGAAATCACACCCCAACCAAGCTACTATATATATACAACCAGGAAACTCCACTCCCTCATGCACCGATTTTTACCTAGCCTGGTAATGAAACATCTGCAGGAAAAATGCAGGTTCAGAGAATACCCCGAACACCAAGATCTACATTCCCTTCTTCTTCCCCAGCCTCCACTGTTGGAGGAACATGTGCATTGCTCAGAGGACAAGGACACCCTTGATAGAGGATACTATACACAGCCTCCATATAAGTTATCTGTACACGCAGTGCCTGATCTAGGCAAAGTTAAGCTCTTGGCATCCACTTGGTTTCAATTTAGGTACTTAAGTGATATTGGTTGATGCTGTGAATAATAATAATAATAATAATAATAATAATAATAATTATTTGCTGTGCTACCAAGTTGAATGAGTAGTTCTTAAAATAGGATTACATTTATAAAGCAGTGCAAATATATACCAAAGGGAGAAAAAGATGCTTTATCTATTTAAAAAGCAATGTCATACATTTTCAGTTATCTATTTAAAGTGCCACCTTTCAGTTAAATATATTCTTTAAGATAAAAAAAAAATTAAAAAGTAGCCATGCAGACAGAGGCTGCCTCCAGAGTGAGTCACTTCCATTTGTAGAAATTTCTAAAAATGTCTATCCCGTAATTTTCTGTTTCTGGAAAATGCCTTCTGCTATCAATGAACCTTACTTTTGCTGGCCTTTGTTCAGCCCCTTGCTCCAAAACAGGAGATTTTCTCCTAGGAAACCCAGTTCATTTTATACCTGCTCCCATGCTCTCACCTATCTACATTCACATATAAATACACACACCATTGTTCAAAATTGGAGAATACTTGTATAATGTAATATCTGTATAATGTAATTATACCTTGAAACTCGTGAAGTATTTTGGTCATGATATTTCACATGGTTTCTTTCTGAGTTGTATTTTATTCTTGGTTCTGCCTTCTAGATAATCCATGATTTAATGGGCAATGCTGTGCAACCTTTACTGGACTCGGTTGGAGACTCAATAGAAGCTATTATCATGACTATGCATCAGGAAGATTTTTCTGGGTAATAGAGTAACTGCTTCTGTGTAGCCTTTAATAGGCCTACGAGGGAACCTTATGAAAAACTGAGACTCCGTTGTCTTTGTGATCCTGCAACAGAAAAGCTAATCTAGCTGTACTCCAATCTATTATGGAAGACAATAGATGTAATTCTGCTGGGGAGATGCGTGCTATGCTAATTATTTGTCTCTTTGGAAACTAAAACTGGGTGACTGAGGGGGGGCTATGAAGCCCAGGAAGGGCATTTTTAAAAGCAGGATTTGCTTTGATTATTTAATGTGTAATATTTTAGAATTCTTAGAGGAAAGACTGTTGAAATATAATTTGCTTAACTTGCAACATTATAAAAACAAACAGGACAGGTTTTTTTGATGAGTTTTTTGCGCTGATATTCATTAGAATAATGAGGATCAATTAGTTTGGTAAGTCTCCAAAAAAGGGAGAACATAACCTTTATCAGGTCTTTCAGTCCCAGAAATTTCTCTCTTGTCTACTAAATTGAGCAGGAATGCCAGGTCTGAGTTGGACACAGGATAAATGATTTTAAGAATGATTAGAAATGCCATGTCTATGTTTCTCTGAAGAGGAACAGAAAGATGACTTTGCACACGTGCTACTTTTGGGCTTCTACAGACATCCAGTAACCACTGTAGGGTCCAACTAGGTGATAATCCTAGATGACCTTTGCTGTTCTCTAAAAATATGTACAGTTGGACCTGATTAGCATTTGGATGTATGACCCATTAGGAAATCCTAAAACTTTAGGCTAAACTAAGAACTTAAAAAAAATATCCCAAAAGAAAGCACTTTTGATCTGTTGCCAAGCAAAGGACATGGATGTATCCATGAAGCACTGGGAGTTGAACTCGACATGAGGAGTTCTTTACCTGCCGTTGAAGAAGGAGAATACTGGACTTTAAGTTAAGACTTTAATCTGATTCAGCAGGGCTCTGGTTGTTTTTTCGTGCCAATGTTGCATCATGCATATGGAAATGCTGAGGATACTTGGATCTGGAGTAGGATGAAGAAATGGCCTTGCTGAGGTTTATAATAGATTTGACTATGAGAACCCAACACTGTGCTCTAAACTCTTATGTTAAATGGGTGAGACAACTACACAAGGAAGTCAAACAGTGCAAACCCTTCTCCCCTGATTGGGTTTCTCCATATGATTCTGAGAAACTTTGCTACAGATCTGCTCTAGATCTTGCCTGGTGGGGGGTTTAAAAGATTCAGCAGTGTAATACATCATTCTAAGGCAGCTTGAAGAATACTGTAGTTTTTCCCCCCAGCTTTACCTCATTCTATTTCAGCTCTGGTTGTCCTTCACTGTCAGAAAAACCATCCAGAAATGAAGATTTCAAACAATTGTTTCGGCTGTTTTAAAAATGGTTGAAATAAACGAAGATCCTCAATTCTTTCTAAAATGGTGACACTCCAAAAGATCTTACTGAGGGGTGTTGCTAAGGGGCCTCTGTGAGATGCGAGTGTGGCATGTTTGCTTTGAAATTTGTCCCCATGCCTTAGAGAGGTCCTGCTCCGTCGAAGAGGCCATGTGTAATCCATGCTGCGGAATTAGAACAATTGTAGCGTTAGGATTTGGAGCCAGGCTAAACTGCAACTCCATGATGGGAACTGATATTAAAGTATTATACTGACAGCTGGGCCCTTTAAATTAAAAGGGGGATTTAGAGCTTAAGGCTTCTGGCTGATGAAAATGCTCTAGAGCAGTGTTCCTCAACCTCGGCAACTTTAAGACCTGTGCACGTCAACTCCAGAATTCCCCAGCCAGCAAGTCCACAGGTCTTAAAGTTGCCGAGGTTGAGAAACACTGCTCTAGAGCATTTTCATCAGCCAGAAGCCTTAAGCTCTAAATCCCCCTTTTAATTTAAAGGGCCCAGCTGTCAGTATAATACTTTAATATCAGTTCCCATCATGGAGTTGCAGTTTAGCCTGGCTCCAAATC